CGTGGATCCGCCTATGATTCCGATGGTCCCTAGCCTTAGAGTCGCATGGAAGATCCCTACGGATCTGTCAGATCTGCTTCACTAAATCAATTTATTGATAAAAAATACCAATAAATTTTACATTTTACTGAATGAAAAAGGTATAAGATGAGTTCTTAAAATTTATTTATTGAATAAAAAACTCAATTTCATAATTTAAAAAAATATATTGAAATTCAATATACATTGAAAAAATTAGAAATTTGAACTTTAAATTTTGTATACCATTATACAACACAAAAAAAAAATTACTAAACACTGGGAACAATTATATAAGAATTAAATTAGATTAAGAAATAATTAATACAAAAATCAAGGTGATTTATAACAACATTGGGAACCATCCTCAGAGTTAATTAAGTCAAATGTATTTTTTACACCATTTCGTCTGTACAATACATAATATAGAAATCAATCAGTCAAAGGAGTTAATTTGGATTGAAAGTTAGGAGAAAGTGAGAATAAAAAAGAAAATTTAGAGAAAAAATAAATATTACATAAAAGTTCGCATTGGATCTGAGAAATTCAATGGCTATATTTTGTATACAAATAAAGTGACAGTAAAAGTGATTTCACAAAAGCAATAAACAAACACATTATATAGTGTTAAAAGGAAACAAAAATTAAATACAACAAATAGAAAATACTTACATATTAGGTTGCTGGGATCTCACAGATAAAACCTATGTTTTACTATAAAAATTGACTGTAATACAGGTCACTCCAATACTAGACTGTATGGCTCCAAGAGCCAGGAGAATATCTTGGAGGAAGGGTCCATTACTCCCAACAGGTATATAACCACATCAAAAAGACTGCTCAGCGGATCTCTCAGATCCGGTGCGACCTTCCTTGTGTTTAGGATGGTGGTATGGAAGAAATAAAATTAACAACAGAATGTATACTTTGCTTTTCTAGAGGTAAGAACTGTATTTGATTCTTCCACATTAGAAAATCCAGAATATTTGGAAATAGAGAAATTTACCTTTTGAATTTGACAAATGCCATAAACTCAATATATCAGAACACAAAAGCTAATGTTTAACTCATTGGTTCAAAATCTGCATGAATTATATCGAAAATTATATTCAAATAGGACCGGAAAGTAATGTCATTTTCTTATATTAAATTCAAACACATAAATTTTAACGAGTTTAATTTTTAATCAATGATGCATTCACCCCCGTTATTAACAACCTTTTTCCTTCCAGTGTGTAAATTTTCAATGCCAGATCAATAAAAATCAATTAGGTTTTGAGCGAAATATAAAGAGCTCGCATTCGGATATCGTTCGAATTTGAAAATCTTTTGCCATTCTTTTTTTTTTCTCCTGTTTTCCTGGACCAGGGAGTGAGGGCAGAGGATTAATGCTAAATTAAAAGACCCTCTTGGTACCGGGACACGAACTTGCAATTATTTTTATCGTTTATAACTTCGGTTATCAAGTTGGCAGGCAGGAGAAGAGAGGGGTGTTGTGAATATACGCATTAGCCCGCTTGGCAACCCTGTCTTTAAAAGAATATAGTGAAAACAGTTTTGAACTGAGAACCTTCATCATCTGAGAATAGTTCCCTAGCCACTGCACTTTGAAAGTACTTAAATGTTTTGCCACTTAAAATGTTTTGAAGCGATTGGAATAAATGGAAATTCGTTGGCGCAACATCAGATGAGTAGTGAGAGAGGCAGTACCTCCCATCCCAATTCATTAATTTTTTTCAGGGTTTGTCTTGGGCAGTGCGGTCTTTCATTTCTGTGTTGCAAAATAATGCTTTTTTGGTTGACAAATCGCTGTCCACTTTTCGGTTAAAGATTGATTCACACGATCCAATTGTTCACAATAAAGGTTTGCATTCACAGTTTGTCCAGGTTTTTGAAAGAGCCACTGCCTTTTGCGTTTTGAGTTATAGGAGACCCATTTTTCATCTCCGGCGATCAAGTGATCAAAAAACGTTTCTGTATTTTGCCGTTGAAGCAATAAGTTGCATGTGGTGAATGGGGGAAGATGGTCGACCAAGGTTGGTTAAGACTATTTGACAATTCTTCGATTCTCTGACATGGATTTGCTTCCACTTCCGCCCTTAACAGGTCATTGTCTTACCGGTCTTCCTGATCGATGTGAGTCGGAGAGATGAAGATTATCAGATTGGAACTTGAAAAACCATCTTTGGCATTTATGAATGTCTAATGCATTTGGATAAACATTGAACATTTTTTTTGTTGCAACTGTTGCGTTATTGCTCTTACGATACTCTAAAAACAATCAATGTCGGATGTGTACATGTTTTTTTTTTTTTGGTATATGGCTGGCCATTTCACCCAAAATTGCAAAACAAAATTTTTAATTTGATTATTTACAATTAAACAAGTCATTATAACCTTAGAAAGTCTTCGCCATGACTTTGATGCACACAATGAGCTCATAAATGACAATCAAATAGTCACATGCACAGATATGACATTACTTTCCGGTCCCCCTAAATGAAGGAATGAAGTAGAGTGTCATTTTTAGTATTGTGAATTACCCTATTTTTTAATATTATGAAGGACCTAGTAAGGAAAAAATGTAAAAAGAGAATTGCAAGGACCACTGAGATATAGGAACCTACTTCCACTGCTAATCCTAAGTTTCATTGTTCTGAACATCTACAAGTAGCTGTTGATGAATGGTCTGGGAAATTGATATTAAAGGATTAAGCATAAACCCCATAGGAGCATATTTATGCTTATCCGAAGAACAGACCAACAGTGTGCAATCACTGTTGAACCAAATGCGACTAGAGAAGGCAAAGAATGTATTCTTCAAAATGTCTTCAGCACAGACAGGCAAAATAGGAGTTGGCAAAGTGACAAAGTTACACCTAGCCTGTTTTATTTTATAATTTAGAATGACAAAATTTTTCTTTACATATTTATTATAAAAATGGAGATAATCTAGAATTCAGAAGGTTACAGAACAAGGATATGACATGCATCTGACCAATGTAGTTGTAATAGAAATTGATTGGATTAGATAACAATCTTATCACTAAATAGTACTAATGTTTAACAAAGAGCATGGTCTGAGAAGTAGATAGGATTGTGTTAAATCTATTATGGATTTAGTTTTGTCGGGGACAGTGAACGGAGAAATTTAGGAATTGATTTATGGTGCAGACAGAATTAAATTTTCAGTTTGATTAGCAAAGTACTGTGAAATTTTTCTCACAATGGACAATTCTCGACAGATTTATTTATTCCAGAGGTATGTTAACTGGGGAGGGATATTTCCTCTCTAGAAAATGACTATGTATATATCTAAATAATAATAATAATAATAAAAGGCTTAGCAAACCCGAAGGTTCAATGCCCACGCCACCAATCACTTATTACACACCTCCCACCACCGTTCGCCGTCCAAACCTAGTTCCTTCAGATCGGCTTTAATGCAATCTTCCCACCTTCGCTTCGGTCTACCCCTTGGACGCTTACCATTTGGAACAGCAAATATTAACCTTTTAGGAATTCTCTCGTTACCAAGCCAAACAATTTTACAAGCCCATTTGATTCGCCGGTATGAAATCACCTCAATTATATTACCCGGATAAAGTTCACGCAATTTGGCGTTGTGTAACCGTCTGAACTATCCGGTTAATTCATCCTTCTTCGTTCTGAATATTCTACGCAATACTTTAAATATATCAAAATAGTTTATTATTTTTATGTTTTTTTATTTACTTTTCTTTTATTATTTCCTTGCCATTCCTAATGTTTTAAGTTAACCGAATATAAATAATCTTAGAAAGAATATTTGATTTTAAGTAAAGTATGAAGAGAATGGATTGATCTGAAAACCACCAAGAGGTGAGGAAAAAAATTTTACATTTCTTAAAAATTACTTGATCATATTCAAAAGTACATTTCCATTTCATGTTTGTAGAAAATGGATTGATATGAAAACCACCAAGAGGTGAGGAAAAAAATGTAACACTATTTAAAAATTGCTTAATCATATTCAAAAGTATGTTTCCATTTCACGTTAGAAAATAAATTTCTCATTAAACAGGATATGGGCATGTATATATACTCAATTTAAATGTGCATGTATCTTTACCAAAACAAACAATAGAAATGAGAAGAATAGTTGGGGTGATCAGTCAAATAAGAAGGCAAAAATAAATGATAATATTTATTTTGACATTTGCCGACGTTTCGACCTGAAGTTCAGGCCTTCATCAGGGCTGTCTTCAAAAAGGTTGATAGAGAAATGATTTCTCTAACAACCTTTATGAAGACAGCCCTGATGAAGGCCTGAGCTTCAGGTCGAAACGTCGGCAAATTTCAAAATAAATATTATCATTTATTTTTGCCTTCTTATTTGACTGATCACCCCAACTATTCTTCTCTTCATTATTCACGACAGTCAACCATTTAACCGCAAATAGAAATGTGGTTTCTTAATTGTCATATTTTGTGATAGTTATGAATTAAAATGGTAATGGCTGTGAGAAAATATCAGATCAAGAAAATTAATAAAAAATAATTTTTTTTTAAATTGAAAAACATACAATTTTTTCTAATTTTCTACAAATCTGGTTAAAGGAGTGTGTGAATTAAAAAAAAACACAAAAGATTATTGCATAAAATATAAGAAATTACCTTGTGATTTACCAAATCTTTGCAGATTATTAGTCTATTTAAATTATAAATAATTAATTTTTGTTGCAAATCAGTGGTAAAATGATACTTTAAAACTTTGTCTCTTCTTTGAATGTATTTTTAATAAAAAAAGAAAAAGAAATTAAGTAAAGAGGATAGAATTGAATTGTGATAAACATTTCATATTTTCACCTTTTCCCATGTGCACCACTGATACATACGTAAGGAACTTGCTATTTTTTTATGAGTTGAACGATTAAATTGGAAATTGAAGCCAAAGAGCCGTATCGAATGTAGAGGCCAGTCTAACAATGTTGTTCCTTCAGGGTTTGGATCCCCCCCCTCTTCCATGTAGGAACATGCCCAACATGCCCCCACGACCACCTCCCACCTCCCCGCCCCCGCTACCCCCAAGGCAATGTTTGGTCCATTCGATGAGTGCTGTTGAGAAGAGTTTTGAAATGGTAAGTGCTTTATTATATAATTCCATCCAGATACGTCTTAAAATTTAAGAAAAATATCAATACTTCTGATTTAAATAAATGTCTAATTTTTTTTTGTTTAACTGATTTAATGTGAATAAATTGTTTTTACAATGACTGTAATTTTCTGGAATTTCTTCTTATAGGCAACTTTATGTTTTGATAAATTGGTCTTATAAAACTTGATGCCAAAGAAAGAGTAGCTGATTCAAATTTCTTTATTAGTTAATTCTCAGACAATGGTGATCATTTATTGTCCTACTATTAGTGTGCTGTGCAAATAATTTATTTTAAAAGAGTTATTGAAATTCGTGAAATAGAATAACAGTTCACAGCAGATGAATCATATAGATGTACTATTAAACTGTTATGTAAGCTGTCTAGCTATCCATTCATTATTAAATTTACTTTCGTTTTAAAGGAAACATAGGCTAATTGGCAACATTCTCATTGTTAAATGTAGTAGTCCTGAAGGAGTGAATTTGCTTTAACTTCAAAATATGCTACAATCTTATAATAAATCAATTCAAACTGTCCATTAACTGTTTGTATAAATCTAATCTGAGGACTTGTATTGTTTTTTAGGAGGAGTCATTTTTTTTTTTTTAATATTTGAATCATTCTATTCACCTTCAATGTGAAGTTTTAAAACTGGCCCAATAATTCTCCACTATTCAACCAGCAACCTAAAGTTAAAATTTAAATTTAAAAATAGCCTACTTTGATTCAGAAGCATGACCTATAACTAATTACTTTAGATGTGTTAATTAAATCTTGATTTGCTTTGCATTCCATCATGACATGACATTGTGTGTGCTATATTTTCTTTAATTATTCATACCTTTTTTATAAGTATATTATAATTAAGCAATTAGTTTTTTATGGTGAACAATTGAAATGTATGTAATATTTTTAAAAAATAAATTTCTATGTATGATAAGAACAATCTTTAAGAGGTCTTGAGGTCATATCCTTATAATTTTTATTATTTCATTGATGCTCTCATTGTTGCATTTTCTAAAAATTAATAGTTACTAGCAACATAAAAAAGTATTACTTAGTAAATGTAAATTATTAAATTGCCTTTCAGTATGAAATGCTATGTTCTATGCTTTTGTTTTTATTTCTTCATTTTTTATTATTTGAGCTGTTAATAGTTAGTAAGCATTTTTGAATTTCTAAGGATTTGAATATTTCCTCCTCTCACTCTCCCCCTAAGCAATTGAGCATGATGTTTTGGAATTTTGCATGTTTATTTTTTTTTTTCATTTCAATTAAATTCTTTTAACTATCCAAGTAATATTACTTTGTTTTAAAATCTTATTTGACTTGATTGCAGGCTGGTCCTCAAGTCCTTCAACATACTCATCAGAGAACTAAGTCAAGCCCTGATAATTTGAGTGTTAATTTAACTCTAAGTGAAGGTACTTTACTTATACATTTAAAAATTTGAGAATTAATTATATTTTTATTTGGGTTTATAATAAAAATCTAAAAAGTTTTAACTTTAACTGATTTAATTTAACTATTATTCATTAACACTATATTTATTATTATTTTTCTGATATTTAGCCTTTTAGGTATACAATATAACAAATCTTAATTTTTATGATAAATGATATTTGAAAATAAAAATAAAATTACATAATTGTAGAGTGATGTTAATCGTCTATTGTAGTATAGTGCCATTTCTATTTTGCTCTTCCTATATTGCAGATAAGAGGTTTATGATAATGTACCCCTCGTTGCTTCATGCCAAGTGTAGATGAGTAGTCATGCTTTTGTGTTTCAATTTAGTGAATTTTAAAAAGCAGATTTTCTTTTTAGCGGTAAAGCATGTTGTTGTAATTTATCTTTTTTGCTTTTGCGTAGTTTTTCTGTATGATGTTTTCTCACTTAATTAGATGCTAATTTTTATTGAACAATGTTAATTAAGTGAAATTATTGTTAAATATAGTAGTGATTATTTGATTATTCAACCTAATTTTACAGACATTTTAATGATGATATCTTCAGTCCGAAAATCATATTGTAACTTACCTAATTTTAATAATTTACCCCAATCGTTATCTGTTGTGCCATTATAAATTTTAAAAACTCATTTTTAAAGACATATTCCTGTATGCATTATTGTAATATATTTTAGAAATTGATAATAATATTTTATTACATGACTATACCGTTTCTATTCATATTAACATGTACTAAAACTTTATATCTGTATCATGATACATAAAGAGCAAATGTCTAAAATATCAAAATTTTTAGTTGAATAGTAAGTATTTAATGATGGCTAAAAGAGATATTTTTTTGTTAGATATGTAATTTTTATGAGTTTTACTTAACAAAAAAATTATTAATATTGCCATGAGTTATTAATATGTATTTTATATTATTAATATCTTAATTGTTGAATGACTGAATCATTGTACAATATAAAAAAGAAAAAATGTTTAATTTATGAAAACTATTAATATTTTACCTTGAAAAAGACAATCATGTTTTTATTGAATACTATATATTCGTAGATTTCCTCTTGTTACAAACTTTCTTTCAATAATATAGTTCACATTTTTAGATAATAATAAACTTAATTTTGTTACAGCTACTAAAAGACTGATTGCATCAGAATCAATGTCTGAATTGCATTTTGCGAAATCACACGGCAGTATAGCGTGGGAAACGGAGCCTACCACCGGTGGTCTTACTCCTCCTGGAACACCTCCTCCACCTTACCTTCCTGGACAGAATTCTCCTGAACATACCTATACAACTATTCCGGATGATGACCTCCCACTTCCAGTAAGTTAGCTATATATATATATGCAGTTAATATAATTTATTGGTCTAAGAGATTATTGGGCTCATTCTATTGTGGTGTTCTCAATACTCAAATTCCAAGTTGACTAATCATTAACCTGATATTACGGAAAAAAAACAAAAAAACAAGCTCAGAAAATAATTTATCTGAACATTATGGAATAGTTGTTCTAGGCAAGAACACTGCATAAGTTTATATGATATATAAATTGTGCTGAATATGTCATATAATTACTGCAGATTTACAAGCTCATGAAGAGGTTGCTTAACATTTTGTTCTTGTAGATAATTAAGACAAAACTAAACACTTTTTTTGTGAAATATACATTAAAGAAAGAGGCATTTGTTTCAACGAACAGTAAAAAGATTCTATTTTCTTTAGATTAGCTCTCCTAATGTTTTCTCTAACATATGTTGTGAATAAATAACCTATTATTTCTATCTGTGTTGTCTGATATTTGATGCAATTTTGTGCTTTTTTACTTCCCTATCTATACTAGGTAAGAAAAGTATTGAAATCGGGTGAAATTTCCGATATGCGGTTTTTGGCTGATCTATATGTTTCAGAGCACTCTGATTTCGAAAAAAACATTTTTAGCCATTGGTCTGTCTGTCTGTGCCAATATATTCTCGGGAACTAATGAACTGATTTTGCTGCTTCTTTTTTTATTTTGTAGAGTTTTGACTACTGATGTCTGTGACACAAATTGGATGCTCCATGCGCAATAGCTGCTGTGCAATAAATGAAAACCATGTTTTTCTATAGACTAGCACAAAAACGGCTCTACCAATTTTGATGAAACTTTCATATAATGTTCTAATAATTGTCCTTTTAATTTTCGTATATGGACTAAATTCCCAAGAAAATTCAGGGAAAAAAGTTATAAAGAAAAGAAAAATGTTTTGGGGCCTAACTTGTTAAGTATATATTCTATGGTAAAAGTTATAATAAAACTTTTGAAAGGTATTTTAATTACCAACAAAACAAAAAAAAAATCATCGGAATCAAACTAGTATTAGCAAAGATACAGCATATCCTATTTTCTATTTTAATTTATAACTTTCCTACCTATACTAAGTAAGGAAAGTATTGCAATGGGGTCAAATTTCCGATATGCGGTTTTTGACGGATCTATACGTTTCTGAGCATCCTGAGTCCGAAAAACACATTTTAGCCTGTTTTTTTGAAAGGTAATGAAATATCCTTCAAAACTATAAAAATCATTCATTTCGAACGAATCGTTCATTGCTTTAGTTTATCGAATAAATCGTACTCAAATCTTTTCTTTGATCAATAATCAATTTGTTTTGTTTTCTTGATGGACATATGTAAAGGTATAAAAACTTTTCTGAAATAGGCAGGAATGTCGTGTGAGTGGACTCACCTTTTTTTATTCATGATGTATGCAATTATATATGATGTAACCATTGTAGAGAGTGGAGTAGCTCAGTGATTTAAGCACTGGGCTGTTAAGCTCAAGGTGCTGGGTTTGAATACGACTGATGTAAAGTAATTTTTAATAATTAATTAAAACCTGTTGGTTGAGCGTGATCCTGTCCCGATGGCCATCACAACTATTGGCATTGAAAAAGTACTACCTAACATAGTACTGAACCCAAAACTCTTCATGGGTGGTAGTGTTACAGGTTTATTTATTTATTTTTTTTTTCACACATAGATATGATCTAATTAAATGTATAATGAGCTGTATGTATGTATCTAGTCAATATTAATAGAAAAAAAAAATGATTATTTGTTTACTTTATTTAATACTAACATTGCTGAAACATCCTCAGCTGTTTATGAATGAGCTTTATAAATTATGAACATTTGGTTGCAGTACAAAAACAAAAACAACAAATTCTATTTATTATTGATACTATAATGATTCTTTATTATTATTTAATCGTTTTTAAATATTTTAAATTAATATATTCTGCTAATTAATTCAAACTGTTATTTCAGACTTCTGAAATTTGTGATTCACCTGTAAAAAGCAGTGGTTTTACAATCCATAATGCCACTCAAGTTCAACAGCCTATAATATCAATGGAAGATGAAGATATGTCTGATCAAGAAATGGTATGCGTTATAATATAATTTAACTTACTTAATTTTTCAGTGATAATTGTAGTTACTATTAAGATATCCGCTTAGTATCCTGAGATCAATAATAGCTCACTCCAATCGGGAATTTATGAGACTTTGTTAACATAAATATGCTGTTGTGTTGAAATTACAGGTATTCTTAGTCTCTTCATTTTTCCATTGCTGTAGAGGCATCACAGCAGAATTTCATAATAGACCTGGCCGCATTATTCTTGATAAATAGGATTCTACTAGATTAAAGGATGGCAAATTATTACAAACAAAGTTGGTGGGAGTCTATGGTGTTGAGTTGTTTACAAGATTGATTAATTAAAATGAATGAATAAAAGGTATCAATTCTGGTCTTAGGGGATTGAAATTTATTGCATGCCAGATCAACAAAACAAATCTCAACCTTTCCACTCTGGTTAGAATAGGTCGTTTGTCTGCAGAATCGCCATCTTGGATGCCAGATATGGCCAAAGGGGGTAAAAAAAAAAAAAAAAAAATGTAAGGTAAATTTAATGTATGCAGTAAATTTTTATAAGCACCTCTGCTCGAATAACCATATTTCCAAGACCACAGAAAAATCAATAACTGATCTTAATATTTGTTTAAACAATTCCTAAGATTCTGTTATCCCATTCCTCAAAATATCCAGAAGCTATCATATCTTATTTTCTCCCACTTCAGTTATAGTTGCCTGGTGTATGAAGGGCTGTCTGTTGGGCAATTCAAGGAATTATAAATGGTTTTATTAGATTCATCTTCAGGTATTTTTTTTTCTGTTCTTCCCTACCTCGCCTTTTAGACTATACGAGATTTTCCCCGGCCCGAGGGTGAGGGCAGGGAATTTAAAATCTCCTCTGGCACCGGGACGCGAACTTGTACTTTTTTTAAAAATCTCATATTCAGGTCATCTGGTGTTGTGCACATGCGTTAGCCCATTAGGCCACCCCGCCCCCTTCATCTTCAGGTTGGTATAGTTGTAGTGGTTTTATCCTGCTTTTCAAAGGCACCTCCTTCTCTTTCTTTTCTGGCTCCTTTGAACCAAAAAACCCTCCCTATATTCTAAAACTCCTGTATATTAAACTCCTCTCTTAATACAAATTATAACATATATCCCCTTTTATAAAACTTTTTCCTTCAGCTTATCTTCCATTAACCATGCTACCTTCGTTATTCTTTATTGTTATTGAATTCTTTACCCATTGCATTTTGTCAATTCTCCTTATATTCCTTTTTAACAACACTTATTTCTTCACTACAATCCATCACATTGATATATAAGGAGTATTAATTTCTATAATAATAATACTAGTAGATACTAGATAGTTGTGTTTTGTAATCATTAAGCCAAAACAAGTGTATATAATGTCTGAAAATTATTCTGGAGGAGCTTTTGTCCCAGAATGAAATTATTATTATTCATTAATCCATAACTTTAAAGCTTTAAATAGGGTGTGAGTGTTTATATTATTAGTGCTTAAGTAAATTTTGTGTGAATTTAGCAAGTATTTTTTAAATTATTTCAGACCCAGACAGAAGATCATGGGCCATTTAAAAGTCTTTCAAAATTATGGACTCATCAAGCACATCTTGCAGTATTTCTTAACTATGTGATTTCTAATAGCGATCCTGCTAGCTTGGTAAGTTATTTCTCCTCTGCTACCTTATTAATTTTATTTAAAAAATAGATTAAATGGGAAATATAAGCATTTATTGCTATAAATTTATTTCATCAATTTTTTTTTATTTTTGGAACTATTTGATTCAATTTTTTAAAACTTAGTTTGCTTTTCGACAATTATAAAATATTTATGTGCATTAGCTAATGTATATTCGTATTTAATAATATCATCGCCACCATGTTAAAGTAACGAAAGTGCAAGGTTGGAAAGGTTGACATTCGTTACTTTAACATGGTGTCGATCATATATGAACTTTCCAATATATTAAAATTCACATTAATTGTTTGTTATCTGTTTCAGTTATTCTATTTGGTGACAGATCTTTACAAGGAAGGTAATGCAAAGGAAATGAAGAAGTGGGCTTATGAAATACACTCTAGTTTTTTAGTACCTGGAGCTGTGAGTTGAAAATATTATATTAGTTTTTTTAAAGCTTTATTTATTGTTGTTTTTCAATAGACAATTTTTTTTCATGAATTAGATTATTTCTTAATTGTTTTTAAATTATTTTTTTCACCAACTTCTGAACGATAAATAATTTTTTTTGTTTTTCCATTAAAAAATTGGCAAGTAATTCATTTTGGTCTTATTATTTCGAGATGTTCATCCTACCGAAGTCTCTTCTTATTTTGAGTATGATGACCTGTTCTGTTTAGTATTATATTATAGCCTTTCGATCAATCAAAAGAAAAAAAATCTCTTTCAAAGCCATCAAAAACTTTATTCCAATTGCTTTAACAACTTCCAAAAATCACTTTATCAACTCAGATTGTTGCACGAATCCACCTCATCTTTAGTCATAGGAAAGAAAGTTCCACAAATCCTGAATACAAATTAAACCTATCATCTTTAATTGTGATTATTGCTTACTTTGACCTTATAAATATGATTCCGAGGATAGTACCAAAAGCCAGAAACCTATAAACTGACGAACTATATTGATGGACATTTGTATGACCCAGCCAATTATTTTTTCTAAGCTAGATTATTATTCCTCTCTTTAAGCACAATTTATTTTTCCTTCTTATCCATTTTAATTGTACGAATCAGTATGAGCTACTTATTACTTGTAAATTATCATTACTTACTATTATTATCATTATTATTGTTTTTGGCCAGATTTGTATTTTACTTTATATTAACTCATCATTGTTATTCTAAAGGGACTTAGTCCCAGAATAAAGTTTAATTTTCTATTCTATTCTATTCTATTATTACATATATATATATAAAAAGTTCGACTTCATGTTTATTTATATTTTTCAGCCCTTACGACTGAATAACGTTGATGAAAATATTGCCCGAGAAATAGATGATGTTCTTTCAAAACAGGCTGACAAAGAAGAAATTTTAAGGAAGGTAGTAAAAAAATTATATTTATATTTATTAATTGTAATTAAACTTAATTTAAACTTTTTATTCGTATTATAATAGAAATATTCTTGTTTGGTTCTCAGTTTGTGTTTTCTGCTTTCCTATTAAGTAATGAACTGAAAATTCTTCATGATCATTTTTTTTTTTTTCATCTTCTTACATAAGAGTTCGTAATTATCTCAATTCGTAAGTTGTTTTTGAAATGAGGAACATGTGGTAAGTTTTTTTTATAGTTCTTGACTCGTCATGAATTTTTTCCTAGCACCCTCCTAGAACCCAGAGCATAATGTTATACCCATTCATCCATTATTTCATCGAAAAGTAGCTGAACGTAATATTGGTTATTTCAAGACTTCAAATAGATTGCAATTTCGTGCTGAAAATAAAATAAAAAGAACAAATAAAATAGCGCTTGGGCCATTATCAACTTTACCCTTTATTTTTCTAATTATATGGCATTATTTTTCTAATTATATTACTTTGTCTTCCGAACCCTCATGGAAACTATCTCTCAACAATATCATGTCGCCTCAAACTTCTGTGGCAGTTCGAAATATTTGTCTTAACAGGGAGCCAATCAATTACTAAAAATTTATTTTTCTTGCTAATACTGGTTGTTGCTCCTATTTACTATCTGCAATCGAACTCCCAATGTAGATCCACTGCATCTAGTAAAAGTTATGGCCATCACAAGCAAGATAATGGCTCTATCTCTTGCACAGACAGTGCTGGATTCTTAGTTTTCTCCAGATTTCCTAGCCACTCCTCTGATATCTATGTTTCAGGTTGACTTTTTGGAAAGGGTTATTTGTATTCTTCATAAATAAAAAAAATACCATAAGATTGTTGTCAGTTTAGCCTTCTCGGATGATTTTTTTTTTTTAATCATTCCTCAGTACATCAGATAAAATTACTTATAGAAATATGCCTAAATATACCTCATTTCAAAACTGAACGATTTAAAGTGCTCATCTTCTTTACTTTTACTGTCTTCTTTTTTTTTTCATCTGTCTTCTTATTTTTTTTTTTAGATATTCTGGAAAGCCCGGCAAAAAGCTAAAGAAGAACTCAATGAGCAACTTGCTGATTTTCAAGCTAAAAGGACTGCAGGTCTAGGAACTCTGTTTGGTCCTAGAGATGCTGAATTAGATGAGAGTATTCATGACAAAGCTAAAGAGCTTAAAATTATAGAAAGTATTCTTATTCCAAAACTCGAACCATATTTGTAAGTATTATTGCTGTCATAACAAAAAAAATAAATAAATGTTCAAACTAATTTTGTGTTAGTTAAATTAAGATAATTTTTGGCAGTCTATAATCTTACCAAGCTTATACTCTTGTTTAAAGATAGTATAAAGTTCTTTGTAAAGAGTAAATAGGAGTAAGCCTTTGATCAACATTTTTATGGTTTCATTAATTAATTTCAATGTGCTTTTTCTGCTTAAGTATTTCAGTAGATATTAATTTGTAATGGAATTGCTGTCCCTAAGTATGTTTTATAGAACTCAAATTGTTGAAACTGCTATATATGATTTAAAATCGATTAAGGTTGATGAATATTTGATGCCATAATCTGTTGAAGTTGTTTTTAATTAAATTAAATCTAGAAAAATTCCTTTCTGTCAAAAGGCAGTAAATTTACACTTAAAATTTTATATTATTACGTTAATTTGTTATATTAATAGACAAATCTATAAGTGTTCAATAGGCCTCCATATTCCTTGTTTTAATTTCAATAGCATTAGGTGAATGATGAAATCGGCTAATTGATTAAGGAATTGGCTGATTTAGATTGAACTTGTGGTACATTTAAAAGTTTTCATTTATTATGTTTTTCCTTTTGGATACATTGACTTTTATTGAGAAAAAGTTATTTTTTTAAATCCATATTTTGATTTATGTCCTAAAATAATGTTCTTAATTTTTTAAAAGTAAACAAACGATATATTGTTTATAAGATGACTTACAAATATGAATCATTTGCTACAGAGAAGATATCGAGAGGGGCATTGTTGACGACAAAAGGTTCTCTACCGGTGCAGCATTAGGAACGGTGATGAGCAAAGTGTTTGGCCTTAGGGGACCACATTTCAATTCTCTCCTTGAAAGGTGTCTCACCTACGTGTCTAAAGATAAATCTCTGAAAACAAGACTGATCGGAAAAACTAGAAAAGTAAGTTGGCTCAATTTTTTTATATTTCCTTAATTTTATATTACTCTGTATTTGCTGAATTCTTAATTTCCTGAATTTAAATATGGCTTTAATTCTTTTAAGAATGCCTTGCCCAGGATATTTTAACCTTTTTATGTAATTAATTAATCATAAGGATAATTAATTTTTAATTAATAAAATGTTACTATTCTTAAAGGTGCCGTTGTGTTCCAAATAATTATAAGCAATTTTTAATATTTGTTACGATTTTTATTAGGTTTTTATTCCTATATTTTTTTTTTTAGAAACAAATACATGAAATTTTTATTTTAATAATTATATATTGAATTCAATGAAAATTTTCAATTTATCGAAAGGAGTAAAATATACAGATAATTTAAAAACATAATTTAATGCCCTTCGGTAAGAAAAATGGTATTCAGGTTGTAAAACTGCCCAGGAAGTAATTATGAGACGTTATAATTTAACATAATGGAGTAGAATAAATTTTAATAAAGTGGAAACAAAAAGTATAATTTTTCATATTTTGGTAAAATGGCAATAATGGTTATGAATTTACCGTCAATGTTACTATTTACAAAAACTATAATTAATTTTTATATTTTACAATAATAACCTGCCTTGTTCTTGTAATAGTCAATGTCAGTTTGTTAGGATAGTAAGGAATAATATTAACACTACTCAATTACTTGACAAGAGGTTGTTTTAGATGATTTCTTTGTTTCAAATTAAAATTTTTCATAAAATTATTTCCCATTTTTATTGGAAATTTATCTTTAAAGTTTATTTTTTAATAGTTAAAAATATTTCATAAAACATTCAATTTGGAATTGGATTTTATTCATCTTTATTTATTAAATACGTTTTTAATATTAACTTTTAGTTGTGTAGAAGTTATATTGACATAGTTTTTTTGTAATTAATTTATCAAAACTTTGTAAGTGCTAATGTTACTATAATTGCTTTACTTATTATCTACAGGTTACTACAAGAGGGCATCAGTGCGTAGCTTACCAATATTACACTGTAACGTATTGTAACCACTGTCAGCTGATTATTTGGGGTATTGGACCTCAGGGATATCAATGTACAAGTAAGTTTGTTTTAATTTTTATTTAGTTTGGTTTTTCATTTCTTGTCATAAAGGAATTAATCATAGTAAATATTGCCACATTAAATATTGAATGAAATCAACTTCAACTTTGGAATGAGTTGAAATAATTGATCATTATATGGACCGCCCTTAACTGATGGAAGCCAATCAACTTAGCACATGTTTTGAGTAACTCTAGTCCAAGTTAATGGCATTAGAAAATCTGGAAGCTTTGAATTTAATTAATTTTCTTTTTAGTCGCAAATCTGATTTTATTGTAATTTTTATCTGATTCAAAACATTGCTGTTATATTTGTAGATTTATTAAAATTAACTTTTGTGGTTCTTTTTTTATAAATAGAAATTTTCCTTTCCATTTCCAATATTTTTTTTAACTTTGATTTTCCATTGAAGATATCTGAACTTCAGGTGGTTATTGGATATGGTTCTTTTCTTTTGAAGATAATATTCAACTCATTTTTTCATATTCTATCAATTGATTCCCATTTGTTGTCCATTTTACTTTCCATATTAATATGAAATTACTTCACATTTCATGTATATATTGAGGAGTCAGTACTCAGTATTATTAAAACAATAAAAGAGCAATACCAACTTGGAAAATTAATATGAAAAACAAAATTATGGCTTTAATAATTACAAAAACATAAATTTCTTGCAAAATAGATTTATGTACAAAATTTGTTTAAAATATAAGGTCAGAAAAGAAACTCATATCAATACATTTTTGCTTTTACTTACCTATATATACAATAAGTAAGGGTAAGTATTGCAATCGTGAAAAGTTTTGAGTCTTAGTTTTCAACGGAAATACATGTTCTGAGGTCTCCTGAGTCCAAATAACCAAGTCTCACAAAATGGTCTGTGTGTGTTTATGTATGCTATCAATCTAGCTCAAAAACAAAAAGTCGTAAGAAAGTAAAATTGCTTATTTAAGGTTTTTATAAGCTTTCGATGTTACAGCAACATTTTCGTCAAAATCAGCAAACTGGAAGTGGTACTTTATATATTCGATTTAACACATTTTTACGATTTTCTCAAAAACGACTGTAATGATTTTGATTAAACTCAGTACATCAGTATATTATTAAGCAGTTTTTAATATAATGTAGGTTTTATTCTCATTGATGTTCTTATCAGGGCTTAAATGGCTAATTTTCAATATTGGCTTCCTCTATAGTACCTTTATTTTTTTTAATTTGTTAATTAACTAAAGGAGAAATAAGAGACTGTAATGGATAATAGTTGTAATAGAGGAATCAAAGGAATACGAGCTGGCCTGAAAGATTATAACCGATTTTAATACGTAATATGAGCTTCATATAATACAGATTTCGACAATATTATGTTCATATACATATGAGATTTTCATAAATGCTATCGTTGGTATCATTTAATGTTTAAATGTATAGAATACAGCGATATAAACATTAAAAATTGTATATATAAGGGTATTTAAACAAATAAAAATATCCACAATGAATTGTAAATAAATATAGCGTCAATAACTTTTACTTTCACTTCCCCTTTGTCTGAAAATATTTATTCCTGCTAAGAAGAAGGTGGTAAGTGAAAGTTGTGTGATGTGCACTCCAGTTTTTCATATTAATAAAACAAGATAGGGAGAATTCAGTGGATAAGCCTTTGTCCCAGGAATTATTTACCTGTTATAGGGTCATGGTCTGGCTTAGGGTTGAGGAAAAACCAGGCAGTTAGGCGGTGGTTACTGACCCCATCATTTGTTTCTATAATTGTTGTGTGATAAACAGTATTTTCTTCCCTAATACTGAACCCCCATTCCTCCATGGATTGTAGTAATATACAAGGGATTTTCAGGGATTGAAATTTATCATATTGTTGGTCCATGGTGAAGTAACGAATGTGTAAAATCACATTTTTCAATTTCGTTCATTTACCATAGTATTCCGGAAGCCCGGAATCAGTAACGTCATTTTTACGAATTTATAGCTTTGTTAGGTATGTATATGTTATAGTAATGAATAATCATAATCAAAAAGTTTGCATTGGGCTGGTTCTCACATTCCTTACTTGAATATAGTGGTGATGATATTACCTTTACAATATTAAACACAGTTTCTTTTATGCTTATTTAAATAAGTCATTTAAAAAAAATTGAAACGAGTTAATTCATCAGTTAGTGTAAGAAATTGAAGCTTTAATTTTACTACTAAACATGAACTGGAAATAAATAATTAATTTTTTTTTTTTCATTTCAGATTGTGGCCTAAATATCCATAGAAATTGTGTGAGTGTTTTGGATGAGAATTGTCCTGGTCCAATGGTAAAAAAGGAAAAGGGAAACGATCGTATAAGTAAACTAATGGAGAGAATTAGACCTGAAAACACCAAGCGGAAACCTAGTTCGCAGAGTTTTGCCCAAGGTAAATGTTTCTTTTTGTGAAATACATTACTTTCAAGTAGACGGTAAGATGCTCTAGAATATCTAGATCATGATTTTACAATGCGACTCCTGAATAGGTAACTACCTGTATGAAATTGTAATTTTGGGGTAAGCAAGGGCAATGGTAAGAGCAGTTAAACAGAAAATATTATATTAATACTTAGCAATAAACAGCATATGATATAAAAGCTATATTCTTTAAGAGCACTGCTGTAAATATCTGCTGCCAAGACTTATTTTTGTTTATTCAATTGATTTAGAAATAATGCTGACATAATCGGTTGTTTAATTTAAGTATACATTCCACACATAATATCAGTACCCTTACAAGGGACTTAAGGGAAAAACAGTGCATTGGGAAAGTCAAAATAGTGAAAAAAAGTAATTTATTTAAGGTTATTTATAAAAATGAAAGCCGATCTGAAGGGACTGGGTTTGGACAGCGAACGGTGGAGGGAGGTGTGTAACAAGCGATTGGTGGTGTCGGCATCGAACCTTCGGGTTCGCTAAGCCTTATTATTTATTTATTTTATTTATAAAAATGAATCTATTCCTTAAAAAGAAATTGCAATAATTTATTATTATCATAAAATTTATAATATTAACAAAAAAATATATACTTACAAATCAATAATTAATTCTATGTATAATTTGTTGCTCAAGGTTAGTCCAATTTGATATTAAACAATAATAAAAAAAAAAAAAAATCATGCTATACTTTGTAGTAAGCATTCAAGGAAAACATAATGGATATTGGTTAGACCACCCAGGTTTGCTGCAATACCAGTCATATCTATTATTAAATCCCCTCTCAGTTATACTTAGTTACCTAAGGTAATCTCCCAGTTACCCCTTTATTAAAACATTTTCAGAGTAACTAAACCGCCCTTGTCAGACAAACGAGTATAGGATTGTAACAGAGAGTCTTTCACCTCTGTTATTAACCCACCCGGCTTATTAATATAAAATTGATCTTTGTTTTGCCATCATAAGGGGTTTTAAAGTTTAAAGAACTGTATGAATTAAATAGTTTCATTTTATATTTCTTGGAAGAATTGTTCCATCTTAATTATTCCCAAAGTAATTTAAAATATAGTTAAATATATTTTTTTTTTGTTTATCCATTATTAATTATAAACAAAAAATATTGATTAAGATTTTCATTGTAGAGTATGAAAGTATTATGTGATGGTTCTTTAAAAAAGGTTAAAATATCTTCTTCTTTTTTTTAATTTTAATATTTGTAGATTAATTAAATATATAATAGATATATTTTTCTTTCTTCTTTATATTATAATAAATTTGCAATTATTTGTAACTATGCTTTCAAACTAGAAAAATAAGTTATTCTATTTTTTGTTGAAAACAAATTTAGGTTGGCAACAGTAACTGTTCAAATGAAAATGTGAAAGTATCAATGCAAATATTCTTAAATTAATTTTTTTTCTTTATTGACAGTTCTAAAAACAAATTGAATATTTGTATAATTGCTTTTTTTTTTTAAGAAGAATAAATTTTTTTTCTTGACTAAAGAAAAGTGTACAATTAAAGTAGCTTTTTTTAATGCTCTGTTTAGGACTTGAAGAAGAACCTAATAGTATTTATTAATTTGCTATTGTTGCTGCTAGCACTGTGTAACATTTCTCAATTCTTGATCAATTATCATAATTCGAATGAGAGAAGAAAACATTCTTATCTGATTAATTCTCGGTAGTTAGTTGTTAAATTTATGTGATTTGAGTCAATCACTTAGCTTCACAATCAGTTGGAATATGTTGTGTAGAGAAGAATCTTTTGAAATTGTATATTTGCCTAGAAGTATTTCTAGAGATGAACCATTTGAAATCATACCGTATTTAGATATTGACTATACTAAATTTTTATCTGGTAATTATGAATTTACATTTCTTCATCATTTTTTTTTTTATGATCAATATTGCTTTATAACTGACTGACTGCTCAATCTTGTTTATGATCATGCTTTATTCATGTTATTGTCACATATTACAATAATGATTATTTACTTACTTTGTGAGATTAATAAATTTGTTTATATTCTTATCTCTATAAGTCAATAGACTAGGACAGTATTTCTTTTATCTATAAACCTGAAGTACAACTTCTTTTTAAATGTTTGTATTTCATTTATTCGATTTTGTTTTTTTAGGTGAAAGGAATAAAAGGCTGCTTGAAGAAGACCCTGCATTAGCTGCAGACAATGAATCAGGTTAGTTTTCAGTTTTATATCTACTTGTTAAATGTAGCTCTTTAAAATGTTCTTTATACTTTATTGACCAAGCTTTGAAACATGATTTATTGCTTTTTTTTCTTTTCTTATAATGCAGTAATGTAATAAAACATATATTTTCAATCAAATAAGTGACAATAATTTGTGTTTTTTTTTATTTTGATGTTTTATTTATTCAAATTTTAATGAATCTTTAAAAAAATAAAAATTACCATCCTGGCACTACAATATATTTCAAGAAATATCATGAAATCTAGATTATTGTCTCTAATAACATATTATATAATAATATAAATAATGTAGCTTTTTTCATATATTTCAAAAAGTGTGAAGCTATTATTTTAAGCAGTACATTGTTACTGTATGTCCACAAGGTCATTATTCTAAAAACATTTTTCCGGAGGAGAAAAATGAATGTTTTTCTTATGATTTGAACCTATAATTATATACTTCCAGTTTTATTCTGTTTCATTATATGTTGAACTAACAATAAAACAGAAAGCATATATTTAAAGAATCAAATAATTAGAAAAAAAAATCAGCTTTTTATCATCCTGAATAAAACTGATTGTGTGTATTAGGTTGTGTGTTCAAAGTTTTGTGGTGTAGATGTTGGAAAATTATCCATATATCAGTATTTAAAAAAATGTCAATATATTGCTATTGAAATTTGACTTTCATAAATAAAATTATTCCAAGAAACCAAAGATGCTGATGAGTTGTCGTGTACAACAACCAAAGAACTGAAATTGATCTTTTGAACGTGAGCTAGTGTTGTGGTCTTGTTGCTATATATTGTTAACTTGTTGGTGTTGTGTATATATATATATATATATATATATATATATATATATATATATATATATATATATGTGTGTGTGTGTGTGTGTGTGTGTATATTATATACTACAATAAATACAAAGTGAAGCTAATCAAGAACACTTAAAACTAATCCCTTATATATCAGATTTGCTGCAAATATTGTGCCAGTTGCAAATGGCACAATATGTCAAAAATAAATAAATAATAATAATAAAAAAAAAGGGAGCAGGATAGCTCAGTGGGTGAGCACTGACTTCCAGCTCAAGGTCCTAGGTTCGAATCCGGCTAATGACTAGTAATTTTTAATTAGCTGTGGATCGACCCTGGGATCGGGAAACCCTCCTGGGGCACACCCAGCCTCTACATAAAGTGGGTACCATTAATTAAAGAAATAATTAAGGGGAAGAACCTGGCAGTTGAGCGTGATATTAGCCCGTCACCTCCCTGCACAATCGCTGGCCTTGTAACAGTACTTCCTCACATATTACTGCACCCAAGACTCTTCATGGGTTGTAGTGGTACAGGTTTTTTTTTTTTAATAAAAAAAATGTGCAAACAATTATGAAAGAATTTGTTAAAACCTTCTATAACTATATTTCCTTATGACTCAAATAATAGGACACCTGGAACATTTGTATTTGCTATCCAAATTGTTTTTAGTGAATTATTGACGAGCAATTCAGAATTACTTATTCCTGACTTTTTTGTTGTTTCATTTTTCAGTTTTATCCATTTTATAACTAATACTTTAATTTTGGTTTGTTAATTTGTGACAGACCTTTATGATATTTCACATACCATTTTAAACATCAAGCAGCCTCTCTTCGCAGTCTTCGTTTTACAGCTTTATTTGGTTGAGAGATTTACCTCTTCTATTTCCAATCCTCTGCTTGACTTCCTGATATGAAACTCTGGGACGTCTTCGTGGTCTCTTCCTAGTGGGTCGAGCCTCTAATACCTTTATAGGGGTCGTGTTCTCGTTTATGTGGTAGATCTGTCCAAACCACTTGAATTGTTTGATCTCCAAAATTGTTTTGAGTTGAGATGCTCTCTTATACTTTCATTTGTAATGCGATCGTTCCTAGTTTTCCTAACTGATTTGTGATGTAACCTCATTTCTGCTGTTATTATGCGACTGTAATGTTTGTCCAACATATTTCCAGGTTTCTCCATCATAGGTGAAAATAGGCAGGTATACAGACATATAGACTTATTTGTCTGTGACAAATAAAAACGCCTCACTCAAAATTTGAGTTTTTACTTTTCAAGATACATCTAACTCAAAGTATGGTTCTTGCATGAAAAATTGCCCAAATTGGAGCTGCAATCTAATTCAAGCGATAACGAATGTAAATACGTTCAGGATTGCATTTTTTAAATAATAAAAAATATTTGCATATTGGTGTCTAATAATCTTCAATTATAGTGTATATAGGATGTGTGGTGGTTGCCAGAGGAGTGTAGAGAGTGGGATCATTATAGGCGTGCATGTCTGCCAAACATAGTTCCTTCCTATCACACTCTAAATATTTTGAATTGTATGTTATAATTTTTTTTGAGAACTGAGCTCATTCTTTCTTTTAATATTGTATACTTTTTCTGACTATTCAAAATTATATTTGGTTATGCTCAGATGTTGTATAAATGTAGTGAAAAAATGTTATTATATAATATAATTTTATTAATAGAACATTTAAACTCAAACATTTCTGAGATCTCCTCTATGATCAGGTTACCACTTTTTAATGTGTAATATTTATTAAAGAATAGAATCTTGATAATGGAGGAGAACTCCAAAATATTATATGGAGGTATTTTTTCACTACATTTATGTAATTTCTTTTTCATGTTATTTTTTAAACATATTAAATTATTAGAAATTAGAATTTTAATTGTTTTTTAAAAACTTTTTCCCCAAAAGTTAAAAAAAAAATTGAATGTATATTATTTATTTGTTTGTTTGCTAGGGTGATTGGCAATCCTCAACTGTATATTATATAAAGTCAAACCTCTATAAATTAAATTATTAGTTATTATTAAAAATAAACTCTAAGGCCTCTGGCCACAGATACAGAAAGTACGCATACAGCGTGCATAGCCCTTTTACCTTAAAATGCCCTTGGTCAGTAAAAGGAAATAAAAAAAATATTTATATATAACATTTATATATATTGTATTTTGTAATAAAGAAATTCCTGGGGGATAGGAAAAAAAAAATTAAACTTTTGTGTGTTTATGATATCTATATATTGAAGATTTTTAGGAACTTTCAATTTCTAATAGTGAAAAATATTCTATCTATCAAATTAAAATTGAAAGGAATAAGAGAGAAGATGGACAGAGCACATCTTATCATCATGCAAATACAAGGAAAAAGAATATGTCCAAGTAAGGTAGCCATCTACCTGGGATTGAAAATTAATAGAAACATTGATGTGATATCTTCACTTGGACTACTTCCGAAATCATGAGGATCTATTGTTGAAAGGAATTAGGAGATATTTTGTGGTCCATCTGATACCCAGGGAGGCGTCTAAGGCTTTTGTATTGAGTATTCTGAGGTAGGCGTCTCCTGCCTGGTTCTAGTGTCTCTCACTCTGACAAAGAAAATGACTGGTGACAATGCAGTGAATTGCTTTGTTCCTATTCACCAAGGTGTATAGATCTTTGTCTTATAATTGAGTACAAGTCTTAGCTGGAGGATGTCACTTGATATCCTGCAAAAAGGTTGTAAGAAATTTGAAATGAAGAGAGGAGGCTTGGCACATCTATCTACAAACATCCAGGTAAGGATCGATGAGGATTCCAGGAATTGGGAGATTACAGTCTAAGATGTAATCGAAGAATAGAACTGGTGACGTCAAGAGAGGCTACTTTGTATTTCTCATGTAACTTCACGATCACATATTATTGTCAGGTCACCTTTAGAAGCAGGTCTCAGGGGACAAGAGAGATTCCATGCCAAGTTTTAGAAACATGGCCATAATAAGTAGTCTTTATGCCCTTGTTATGGCTTACCGGAGACTGACGGACATCTTATCAGATTGCCTTTGAGATATTGAAACCTAAGCTGTAATAAGTATAAGGGCTCTATGTTTTTACCAAAATAAATTGGTTGCAGCTACTAATGGTTAAAAACTATAAGGCCTTTGTGTTTGGGTGGAAAACAGCTATCAGCCCAGTCGATTTCAGAATGCTGTGTCCCTCGCAATGCTGTTTTATGATATAAAATAAGATCATAAAAAATAATAAGTGCTGTTTGAGCATTGAAAATAATAATGATATTACTAAATACTAAATTCTTTCAAAGTCTTTAAATATGCAAAATACTTAGTACAGTAGTACAGTTATATTCTGAAGCATGTGTTCTTGACTTGGTTGGAAATGTGCATATCAATTAACCTTTGGTTAGGTACAAAAGGATTGGGAGCGTAGTTGCTTCTTTACACCTCTCACTTCATACATAGGTAAGGTTTGTATTTGATCAGTGCATTTAAGAGTGCCTAGAAGGAGGTTTCATTGTTGCGGAGGGTCAAGTTGCGCCTTCTAAATTTTTGAGGGGGGCTCATTTGGACTGGGTTTTAATTTTTGAGGATGGCACATTTCTATGGGGCTATGAATTTTCGGTGTGAAAAGTTTGAAAACAGAAAACTAGGAGGAAAACATAGGACAGACCACAACATGTATAATTGTATATGATCAATGATTTCTCTAATCCTACTTGTGCTTGCACTGTTTTTAAGAAGAGGAGTATAATACGATTTTGGAGAGAGGAAGATGATTCATACGCCATCGACCTTGGGAGGGGGATGGGCACTCCTGAGTACACTGTTGATATTATAGGGGGAAATTTTAATCTAATAGATGAGTTGAGCTTAATTATATTTCACATTTCTTAAATTCGAATGAAGCTAAAGCAGAAACAGAGGAACCAGAAATACAAATCTAGAGTTGATGTAGTCAATAACTTGTGAGTAATCTACAATGTAGTGAGAAATATGCAAGGTGGCCAATTGTCATTTTCTTTACCCTTACAAAAATTGCTGGTATCAATGTAGAAGTCCTGGAGATAGCCCAGTGAATATGAAATGCATATATTGCTGCAAGATTGAGAGAATGTTAAGAGAAAAACATTTATTCATTGCGAGAGAAAATCA